AATTGTATATATTATTTTTTAATTATATAATTACTAATATATATACTTTTGACTGTAAATTTTTCAAAATACATTGATATATGTTGAGTAATCCTATTAAAAGAATATTCATGTAAAATCTCTCCATCCAAATTGTAATATAGACAGACATAAATATATATATATAAATGCATGTTCTCTCATGTATGCTTTTAGGGATGGTAATAGGGCAGGGCGGGGATCTCATTTCCCATCTCCATTCCCGGTCAAAATTTTTACTCCCATCCTTGCCCCCATACCCGTTTAATTTTCAACCCCATCCCCCCTCCCCGTCCCGCCCCGCCCCGCCCCGCCACATTAGCCCCCGTCCCCGTCCTGCTCCGCATAACATTTTTTAAGTTCCAATTCAACTTCAACAAAATCAACACATCCATAATATTTTTCAACCTAATAATTTAATAAAATTTCAGCATAATTATAACAATTTAAAACATGATCAGATGTTTGATGCACAGCGACTAAGTTTTTTTCTCTATGCTGTTTTTTCTCTCTATGATCTAGGGTTTCACTTTCAGAAGTAAAAATATTATATATATAGTTATGTAATTTAATAATATTTTATAACATGTAATAGCAATTTTGTAAAAATGCATTATAAAAGGGGCAGGCGGGGTTACCCTCTCCCGCCCCCACCCCATTCCCCGCCGGGGTTTCAAATACAATCTCCATCTCCTCCCCATTTACATGAATGGGTCCCCAAACCCGCCATAAACAGGGCGGGGTGGGGCGGGGACCCGCCAGGTATGAGGATTTGCCATCCCTATATGCTCTGCGGAATGGATGTGAAATTTTGTATTAAAAATAACCTAGATGGGTGAAAAGGTTTTCCTTGCTCATTTTTTCTTATTTTTTTATTTTAATTTTATCGAAATAAAACTAAAAGCAAATCCACAAAACAAATATAAAATGCAAATAAAGTAAATAAAGTTTGAGAGATGACACCGAATTTTTTTGTGTGGAAACCTTAGTTGGAAAAAATCCGACGAAACAAATACAATAAAGCTCACATTCACTTCGATCTATCAAGAATTAGTAGTTGTTGAACATCCCAAGTTTACTCTCGCGAGTCCCCATCTCGCGGGTCCCCATTTGATTGCTGTAAACTCCAGACTTACTCTTCAATTCTTGTAGAAGGGTTGCTGGTAGATCATGAACACTACACAAATACTCTGACCTCTTCGTAGTTCAATTGATTCCTCATTTTCTTCAAATTCTGAATTTGTTGAAGACAAATAGAAACCCTATTTTTCTGAACGGAATTGACTAATTTTTCAATATGCTTGAACTCCGATCAGACTGAGAACATCAACTTGAAACATTATCGTGCGTGCTCTTAAAGACAAAATCAGATTTAATTTTTTGAATAAAAATATCTCTAAATTATGTGAAATTTTTATCTGAAAAGCTATAAAAATTTAGGAATAAAAAGATATTATATAGATGTTAGGAAGACCTAAAAATACTTGGAAACCAAGTAAAATTCGTGCAAAGACATCTCCCAAAAACTGATAAAAAAGGAAATCAAGTTGGACTAGAATTACAAATCTAGATTGGTTTCAGAACAATGCAACGGTTTCGTTGCAGTGAGCAAATAATCCGTCAATCCGGTACGAACCAATCCGATCCGTGTGTTTCGGTTCGGTTTTCAGATATCATGGTTCGGTGATAATTTAGAAAAATAGCAATCCGCTATTGGCGGTTCAATTAACGGATTGGGCTCTGGAAAAACCGATTCGATCCGTTAACCGAACCGATTAGGTTTCCTCAGTTATATATTAATATATTATATACATAACTATATATATATTTACTGTATTTCTATTTTTTTAATTCATTACTTAAAACTTTAAGTTAACCTAGGTCACCAAAGTGTCATTACAAGTTTTTAATTACTAAAATGAGATTTTAATGGCAATAAAGTGTAATCATATGAGGCTGTTTGAAAATCCCAATCTGTGTAAACCGAACCGATCCGATCCGTTCTTTCACGGATCGGTTTGGTTCGGATTGAAGGTCCCTACAGATCAGTTCGGTTTCAAATTTCACCAATCTGTAGGGACCGGATTGGATTGAACTTTATCCAAAACCAAACCAATCTGATATGTGATTAGCCCTATTCTGTTAGCCACAACCGTTTTTGCAAGACCAGTGTAAAATTCAACAACTTAGGAGACAACTAATGCAACTGGTTGAACCGTCCGGTTTCGTAGTGGCAATGAGTTACCTTTTCAAAACTGGTTCCGCTATGCTAGCGAGATTTTATTCAGAAACATTGTTTGGAAAACAATGGACGCAACTAGTTGCGTGAAGTGCGACCGGTTCTGGTGTGGCATCAAAACTCACCAATGGTAAAAATAACGTGTCCCCACCAATATTCTTTTTTTATGTTCCCAACTGAATCAAAATTGAACGCTATATTGACTATCGCTGTTGTTCCACTTCCTACATCAAAATTCACAAAATGAAACAAAAATTACAACTCATTCAGACATATTTTGACACCAAAACATGCCAATTCGACAATTAATATCTCACATCATGCTCTATATTTATATTAGTAACTGTTAGGAATGGTTCCAGTTTGTTCAAGAACCGTACCAAACCAGTGTGCACCCCTAGTAACACTGATAACTCTTTATATTAGTCATTAATCTTGACACCTTTCCAGCCGTTAATCTAAGATCCTCACATTTATATCCTGAAATCAATAATTGGTAACACAGTACATGTTTGGGAGTTGTTCTTCACACGCGGATGTTAATTTTATTCGGGACACTTTTCCCCGTGATACTTTACATTGCAATTTTATCACATTTTTTTAAAAATTCTATCATTTTAAAAGGTTAAATTTTACCAATTTAAACTCACTAATAAATGCTGTAAAATTTACTATTTAAAGTTATAAAATTTTAAAATAAGATTCTGTTTGTTTGAATGTAAAATATATATTTTTTATTTTTTGATATTTGATTATTATATTTGTTATTAAAACTTAACAAAAATAATTTTTTATTAATTTTTGATAAATTATTTTAACGTCCCGTCTGATTGACTTAACTTTTACCTCAATCCAGATCTTTATCAAATATCAAAAAAGTAAAAATAATAAATATATATTATCTAAAAATAAAAATATCTTACGTGAAAACAAACAAAACCCAAATGTTATGAAGTTGGATAATGAAACAATACAGAACAAAATATATATCCGAGAGAGGATTTTGATTATTAATCAGATAAAGATCCCTTAAGATCCCTTGTGAGTCTTGTGACGCATGTGTGTTTTGAACTTTGAATCATATAAGTAAGCTTACAATTTTACTTTTAACTTTTTAAATATAAAATTATAAAGTTTTTAAATATAAAATTATAAAGTCAAAGAAATAAAAGTTAATTTAACTAAGAAAAGTAATAAAAGAAAGCATGTTTAAATTTTTTTTTTTGGTTAATTTAATAAAAATACTTTTGGAAACTTTGTTTACTAAAATGTAAACATTAAAAAATAAACTAAACAAAAAAGCATTATACACAAAAGTTATTACAAATCTGTGAAAAATGACAATTAATTTCATCAATATGTTAACATGATTATTTATTGAGCAGTGTTACACATTTTTTAATCTAACGTGGGATAACTAAAAAAAATATGAATTTTTTTTTTTAGTTTAATGCATATTACACTTTATTATTTTATACATTTGTATTTCCTACTTTAATAAACTAAACAAATTGAAGGAAAAGGTAGAAACGAAAAATCACACTGATTTTTTTTTTTTATATATTTATAATTTGCTTTTCTTTACTAATATTTTTCATTCTCTTCTTCACTTTCTCAACTTCTATATATATATATATATTAGGTATCTCTTTAAAATTTAACCGAAAATATTGAATTAAAATATAATTATAAAAAGCTTCAAGTAAATTATGTAAATTAATGTTTTTATTTACTAGAAAGAGATCACTCATTCATAATAAAAAATTATAGTTTATAATTTTAATTATTTAAAAATTTAATTAATAGAATATATCTACCAAGAAAATATTAGTAAAGAAAAGCAAGAAAATATTAGTAAAGAAAATTATTGAATTATTTAGGGTATAGAATTATAGAATTATTTAAGGTTTAGATTCTATAATGATAAATTTTACTATTTTTTTTCTCTTTCCTATATGAAAAAAAAAAAAATACTTTTAAAATACACGAAGGAATAAGCTAAACTACATAATTCGATATAAAATCACAAATCTAAATTAGTAGAGTATAGCATTTTCCTTATTTAAAAGTTCACCAAGTGGTCAACGCTTAACAAAATAATTACAAGCTTGTATGACTTTTAGCAAGCATCAAACAATGCTGGATTAAACAAGAGAATTAAAAATATATATATAATTAATAAATAAAAAAAATCAAATTTTGAATTTCTTAGTGTATATAATATATATTGAACTTCTTGGGGCCATAAAATTTTATATATTATTTTCATTTGGTAACAAACACACATTCACTTTACAAATTTATTTTGTTCGACTCAAACTTCATTATTCACAAATTTATTTTGTTCGACTCAAACTTCATTATTCACATTGCGAATACCTACTTTCCACTTTACGAATAACCACTTTATTTTGTTAGAGACTCGAACATCACCCTTCACTTTAAAAAATACATAAAATACAATTATGCCACAAAATCCTTTTATCATAGAATCATAATGGATAACATAGATCTCACTCATTGTAAGAAACATAACCATGTGTGTGCAAACACAGACTTGACAGACATGCCTATAACCCTCTAATGTGTGTATATATTATATCTCCGACCTACGAAAACCTGAAAGTGTTTTGAGAGTCTGATTTGAATGTGTGTGTGTGTGTGTTTTTTTTTTTTTGGTCAAAATTGAATGCGAGTATTCAGAGAGTCCGAATTATCATTGCCGGGAGTTAAAAATATATGGTAGTAGCTTTCGGATCAACACAACTAATTTACCAAATAAAGTACAATATTAACAAAAGTTATATAACAAAAGTCTGCCTTTTCTTTCGGATTTAAAAAAAAAAAAAAAAACAAGAGGGCCGAACCCAATAGAAGTGAACAGGCCTAAGTGAGTTTGAACCTGTCGAGCCCAACCTTAAACCCGACAGTCCTCAAGTCTTGTTGGGTTTGTGCTCGAAAATCAGCATTTGTAAATGGCTTGTACTTTGAGCTTCGAATCACAAAGTCCTCCGCAGGGAACACGAAGTAGCCTATTGATATTCTGGCCTCATGCTTGTTCACCTTCACCCTATGCTTCACACTCTTGTACTTATCATCACTCATTGCCTAATTCATTCATTAACAAAATCAAAACAACAAAAATAACTGCATATAATCTCGGACGTCAAGAAATTATATGATCTCAGTAATCACAAAATATGATGCAATTTACCTTTCAAATTAGTCTATGAGACCCACTACTACAAGTCCTGCAATGGTGGATCCCACAGGCCCTAGGACGGCAAGGAATGTCCCATAAAAAAATTCCATATTAGCTTAGTTTTTGGAGATGTTTAACAATAAGTATACATTTCTATATATTTATATATATATATATGTATGTATGTGTGTGTATACAGATGAGGATGATACGAAAATACAGACCTGCATTATATCTCCAAGATTGATGACTAGGGTGTTGGGAATGGGCTGTACATCGATCCACTTATCGTCCTTGAGAAATTGAAGTCCTCCTACTTTGTCTTGGTTTAATATGGAAATCACTGAGCTGTCAGTGTGGGTGTCCATGCCCCATGCTCGGTTAGGCTCAGGGCAACATGGATACCGGTAGACTCGTGCCAGTCCGGTGGCCGGTGAGAGATAAGACCCCGATTGTTTCAGACACATGTTGAGGTTCTCTGCCATGGCTTCAAATATTCTTGTAGCTACTCTGGATTGGTGCCTTCCATATTCTTCCAACAGAAGCCTAATAAATAATTAATCAAATATAAAAATTAATTGCTTTAGTTAATTCACTAAATGGTGTCATTTTATGAGAGAGACATTAAAAATATATAACTCGACATGGTATCTACAAACAAATCTAACATGTTATTTTATTTGCAAGAAAAACAGATGAAAAAAAACAAAAAAACTAATCAACATGCTGTCAAATGCAATTATATGTTTGTGGACCTCACATGTGGAACTCCTATGCTTGCCTTCTTGTGATGATTGTTTAACAAAATGACATCATATTTATTGTTGCAAAATGACATTTGTCTTTTGAACCCTTTTGTATCGCAGATTCATATCATATGTAGAGGCCCCATTATATCAATTCACAAGTCTTGATTGGCAGAAGAGGCAAACTCATGTGAAATCATATGAAAGCTCCGACAAAAAGAGACATGAAATGGCGGCATTTCAGGATCAAACTAATATATATATATATATTATCCTCAGGTGCTTGGATGAATTGGTGAGGCGAGGGCTTTAGCTATCCATGGCTAGAGTTCGAGCCTTTTCACCTCTTTTATTACTCCCAACTTATCTAGTTGTTTATAATATGAGACTAACTTCGGTATTTAGGGTCTTACCTGCTAATTACAAGTTAAAAGAGTAGATAATTGCGAGAATCTTCACGTGATAAAAAAAAATAAAAACTAATATATATATATATACACACAATTATTGCTAACGCTGAAAATGAGGTACAAAGTCAAATATGTCCTCATATAATCATTTTCAGCACAATTTTGTCAGGGGTGCCTTCCTTTCTATATATATAATATAATATAAGAAATTTGGACGGCGAATAACCAATAAAACAAAATATTTAAAATGTGACAAGTCGTGAGTTGAACCTATAATATAAGTATAGTGGTGAAATGAATATTTAGTAGAATCGGAATTCTGTATGGTATAATGCATCGGACCGTCCACAAACATTACACCGAATCCCTTTTCTATCAAGTCGTATTAAAAGGGGCATGCACACAGAGAGAAAAAGGCATACCCGAAAGAATCGAGCAGTGGATCGTCATATTGAAGATGTGACAGTTCACGGAGAAGAACATTGAAGCCTTCCATCCAGTTGACATGTTGGGGCTGTGGACCTTTCTGTAGGGCAACCCCGCCAGATGGGGTAAGGGCAGGGGTACCCCAAAAGTAGGCTATGGGATTGGTGAAGAGGGCCTGTTTGGACTCAAAGGAAAGAAAAAAGAGCTTCTTGGCATGGTCATGAAGTTGGTTCAATAGGGTGACTGGAATTCCATGGTTGACCAAACGAAACACCCCCCAATCTTTACAGGCCTCACTCAGCCTGTCATGGTCTATGCACTCAAGGTCGATTACAGGTAGGTCTAGGGTTTGTTTGGTGGGTTTTTCCAAGTCAAAAAAGCCCTCCTCCAGTGAGGCAATCGGTGGGCGAAAAAATGGTGGGTAGGATTCGAAATTGGATTCCGACATATTTTCCATTCATAAGCACAATGATGATGAGTGGTTGGTTATAACTATATATAGCTATATTTAATCGTTTTTTATTAATGTATTATAAATTATATTAAAAGGTGTGCTCATGGGGTTTTCTTAGTTAATTGCATGTGGACCACCATGTCTATATGGTGACACGTTGACACGGACATATGGTCCCGTCCACCTGTCGTTCTCTAGCATCGTCTCTTCCTTCGTGAGCACGTGGGTCTCTCTCTCTCTGTACAAATCCCAATCGCCCTTTGAGAACATAAACTTTGTTACTATTAGGCACCTTTCCATTGAGAATATAACCGTAGCCTCTTTCCAAGGGAGGAACCGGATCTTTACTGTACAAGGAGGAGGTGTCGAATATTTTACATGCATTCTAATTACGTGGAGCCTTCAAGTCCCTTGATAATTTTTAGACCTTTTTAAAGGATAAGGGCCAGCAAGAATGGTTTATTTTATGACCTAATGTGGAGTGGAATGGTTTTATGAGCTAATGGTCCGTGCTTTTGGTACGAAGGATGGAATAGAATGAAATGGTAATCCATTTTATTCGGTCATTTGTTTTGGGTAAAAAAATCAAAATGAAAATAATTGATAAATAATAAAATTTCATTTGGCATCTCAATTTATAGTTAGGGCTGTAACTTGGGTTGGCCCAACCCAGCCCAGTCCCAATCCAACCTCAATTCGAAGTGGGTTGGGTTGGGCCAACCCGAATTATATTCATCATGGGTTATGATCATAACCCGAACCGAATATTTTCGGACGTGTTGGGTCAGGTTGCCGGGTTGAGGTTTTTTTTTTTTAAAAAAAATTTATATATATATATAATATATTATTATATATATATATATTATATATTTGATTATATTATTATAAATAAAAATATATATATTTTTAGGGCAAATCATTTCAGCCCCCCTATCGCCTCCAGCTCCATTCTCTCTCTCTCTCTCTCTCTCCAACTGCAAGTTACAAAATCTACAAGAATCAGAAGTTCAAAACCCACATATTACAATTTTATCTATCTGTGTGCTAGAATCAAAAGTTCAAAACCCATATCGGCATATCATTTCAGATTATTCAAAAAATCAAAACATCGGCATATCATTTCAGATTGTTCAAAAAATCAAAACCCAGATCTTTCAATTTCCATCGCCCGCTATCCAGTTTGTTCAAGCTTCGCCAGATTGGTTCAAGCTTCGCCATATCATTTCAGATTTGTTCAAAAAATCAAAACCCAGATTGTTCAAGCTTCGCCCATGGACAGCGGCAGAGAGAGAAAGATAAAGAAAAAGAAGACAGGGAAAGAGAAAGAGAAAGAGAAAGAAAAAGAAGACAGAGAATGAGAAAGAAGAAAGAGGAGAAAGAAAGGAGAGAAAAAAAAAAAAAAAAAGCCCCCTTCTCAACTCTCAAGCTTCGCCCATGGACGGCGGCGGATAGAGAAAGAGAGAGGAGAGAGAAAGGATGAAAAAAAAAAAAAAATGGGTTTTGGGTTGGGTTCGGGTTGAGCCCAGCCCAACCCGATTTTGTCTGGGTTTTGGCAAAACCCAACCTGAATATGAACCTGACTTGTGAATATAAGCCCCCATTTCAAAAATTCTGGGTTGGGCTTGGGTTGGGCTTGATTAACCCGCTCAAGTTGTAGCCCTATTTATAGTATGTTCATTCTATTCTCAAGTAAAATTAAATAATAATAATAATTAAATCTCATTTCAAAAACGGTCTCATGTTCTAACCGCCACCGGTTTTGTCCTCTTCCACCACCAACAATGCCTTTGCCATTTCTTTAAAATTAGAAAAGAATGTTATCTCATTAGGTTAATTTATTTGTCACTGGGGTAATTGTTGGGAAACGTGCAAGTTTTAAAAACTTTTCGAGGGATTTTGATTCATAGATCTTGATTCATCACATAGAGACAAGTTTTATGCAAAAATATTAATATGATGTATCATTCAATTAATGGATTGAATACTTACATCAAAGGTCTGAGTAAACCTTTAAAACTTTCCTCTAAAGTGAATGTTCTCACTTATTGTAGATCCCTTAGTAAGATGCCTTCTCCTTGAATCTCCATCTTCTTGGTAATTATTTTGCCTTTAGGAATCACTCATAAGCCTCCATGAATTACCTTGGAAAACTAGGCTTGTGGGAGCCTCCATTAGATGAGACCATAAACCCTAATTTTCTAGAGAGAGAAAATAAATTCCTTTTTCCTTCTCATTAAAAATCACACCCTAAAATATACATAGACCATGTATATTTATAGACAACATAAAAATAAAGAAAAGGAAACAACAAATCCTTCTCCATCTCTAATTCATATGTCTCAAATCTAATATGATTCCAATATCAAGTTGGGCTATGAGTGAGAATCCATTGGGCCTATTATTTTATTGGCTGCAATGAATTAATAATTGGCCCGGTCCATGGACCCAATTCAATTAATTCATAAATTAATTTCTACTCCACTAAAAGAAATTAATTGAACTCCAATTAAATAATAAATAACCTCTAAGTCAATATTGCACTTTGACCCCTCTATGCATAATTAGTTATCGGATAAATAAAGCCATTAATCCGACTACTTAATTAATATATCTATTTTGGTACCTCTGATTATTTCTGGCTCGATCACAATAAAACATTTATTTGACAAAAATAATAATTTAAATAAATAAATATATAATAAATCATTTTGTCTAAAAACACACGAAGGCCTTCGAATTTACTTTGTGATCAACCATAATCAATACAAAATAAATACAAGTAGCAATGATGCAAATATTGAAAATATAACCCTCTAACTATTAATTACATAATTACCCAAAGTGTCGGTCTAAGGATCCCGAAGAATCCGCCGAACAAATCAAAGTAATTATTAATTAATAAAAGAGTCTATACTTTTCTCATACTTAAGAGTCAAATGCCATGACGGTGATAGGGAGTAATTGCATACGACGGCTCTCGCAATATATCTCAACCTAACGCGGATTCAGTTCAAGTCTTAATTAATTATGAGTCCATCCATACCGACTATGAACAATTTATAATTACTATTTATATATCATGCATTGATTGCCATCACATACATATATATAAATATTTCTTGTAATTACATGGACACTATCAATTTCATAGTGAATCGAAACATAATACATTGAATTCACCAATTATATAAATCATAAATATTTCAGATATGTCAGGAACATATGTCACTATAATCCAGATAGGAATTTGCTATGCCAGGGCATATAAATCCCAACAGTAATAACAACCGGTGAAGGTATAATAATAATCAAACCTCATTCCAAAAACACCTCATGTACCTTTTAACCATCAGTGTCAACGCCACCAGTTTTGTCCTCTTTACCAACAATGCCTTTGCCATTTCATTAAAATTAGGGAAGAACGCTATCTCATTCGGTTAATTTATTTGTCACCGAGGTAATAACGACAGCTGAAGTTGGTAAGTGTTACAAGAGATTATTTGTCTCACATCAGATTCGGATGAAAAAGTGATTAGGTATAAATAAGTGGGTATGTCGTATTACCCAACAATTTAAATTTTTTGATAAATGGATAAGCGTTTATCCGTTACAGTTGGTATCAGAACCAAACTTTGATCCGATGCCATGCCAAGTGTCCAGACCAAAAAACGTTGGGGTGAACCATCCTAGATAGGCAGAGTGGTTCGACCCCAACGAGGGTGTTGCGAGTTAGGGTGGGGGAGAATGTTGAAAGGGGCCATTTGTCCTACATCGAATCCAGATGGAAAATTGAATGGGTATAAATGGGTGGGTATGCAGTACAACCTAACAATTTGAGTTTTGAAGTAAATGGGCAAGCGTCCACCCGGTACATTAAGTCACTTGGTTCTCTAGAGTGCAGATAATTCCTTGGAGCCTTGGAGGAGGGTGTGCGATTATCAACTAAGAAGGAAAAAAAAATTAAAAAAAAAAATATTGTAGAAGCCAAGAGCCTTGGCCGGGAAATTTTGGAAAATTCAATTTTAAATTCATTCCATTCTAGATTTTAAATTTGTCTACTAACCACTAGAGAATAGTGACGATAATTTCATTCTTAATTATTTTATTCTTATTTACATTTTATTCCATTCTATTCCATTCTTAGGTAGCAAACAGCCTAGCCCACTAAAAAAAACATTGAGGCCTTCATGTCTGCTTGAGATGAGAACCATGTTTGGGTCTCATTTAAGACCATCAATGCCTGATGCTTTCGATTTTATGAGTCGGCTAGCTCTTGGACTAGAATAGTAGTACCCTAACACATTTTGTTTTCATATCACTCATATGGGTTGTAATATTTACCCAACAATATATGACACTAGGGCCGACATGATATTATTGGACGCCTAAGACAACAAGAAGCCACCAGCACCACAACTTTCATTACCACTTTTGTTACCATTTTTATTATTTTATTTTAAGTAAGTTCACATTTACCACTACACCAGTATAGTTCCTTGGACTTCAAAGAGTACTTAGGAATGGCAATTTCCCTATCTCTGCTGACCCCGTCCCGCCCTACCCCGTTTATAACGAAGATGGGGATCCTTTCAGTTAAATGGGAATGAGAATGGGAATGGAGATGGGGATGGGGATGGGGATGGGGACAAATTATGAATCCCCGCCGGAGCCGAGGCCGAGGGCAGAAATGGGGTAAACCCGTCCCGCTCTGCCCCGATTTAAGTGTAAAGTTACTAATATGTCCTTACATATAATAATTTGTTACTAAATTAGATTTATTATATATATGAAAATAAGAAAAAAAATGTGTTTTTTATTAATAAAAAAAATTATGAGGCTGAGGGCGGGAGCAGGGGCGGGTATGGGAATTCTGGCAAAATTTTAAACGGGAATGGGGATTGGGCTGGGGAATGAAAAATGTATCGGGGATGGGGATGGGAATGGAATCCTCGACCCACCCCGCCCCGTTGCCATCCTAAGAGTACTTCACACTTCAATTACTGTACGCATCATGTTGCAAACTCATCGTATACCCTCACATTACCTACACTCACATATTTCCATCACTCCCTTCGCATATTTGCACAGGTTGACACATAACGCCCTTACTCTTGTCTAACCAAACACCACTTAAACTAAAAAATCATAATTATAAACACTAATGCACAACAGTTACAAAGATCAATTTTTTGAATTATGTCTGCAAACAAAGTTAAATTCGATAATTTATGTTTTTGAAATCAAATAAGTTAAAAAGATTCATAACTGTAGATATTAACTAAGAAAACAATTAGATAAATAGAAAAAATGTCAGAGATGGGTGGAAAAGATCAATTTTTTTTTTTTTATATATATAATTTTTTTTATAAAATATGTAGTTCAATATATTATTACAAAATTTCTATTTAAAATGATCCACATATAATTGAAAAGAGTATACATTAAATAAAAAAAATCTTATAATGACACTCACATTACAAAATAAAAGTCACTTAGGGCATTACCCCAAAAAAAAAAATTACTTGGAAAAAAGAAAAAAAAGAAAGAAGAAGAGGGTTAAGAATTAGTGCACTATTTTAGAAATTTTTAGAAGAAGAGATCGAACAAATTATATTTGAAAAATATGCAATTTCTAATTATCCTATTACCAAGCATTTTTATTATATAACACATGCAATAGTGTTGTATCAAAGACAAAATTCATGTAATAACAACATTTTATCCAAAACAACATTCCTGATGTAACGGTGTTTTGTTTCATTGTGACACAATATAACACGAGTGCAAAGAAATCCTGTAATTTAGGAATTGGACTCTGAAAAATATGATCAGTGTAACAGTGTTTTGTTTTATTGTGTGCGGGATATAAGAGCAAAGAATTCTTGTAATTTAGAAATTGAAGTCTCAGACATGTAATGTAGAATGATATAACAAGAGCAAAGAATTCCTATAACTTGGAAATTGGCTCCGAGACACGTAATATCAATAATAATAATATATATATTTTTGCCTAAAGCAAAAAATATATATATTATTTTTGCCTCAATTTGAGAGACCTAAGCGATGGTGTAAAAATATATATATATATATATATTATTTGCCTAAATTTGAGGCGGTGGGCGATCACACGGGTTACCTAGGCCAGGGCCGGCCTTGCCTATTAAGAAAGGATGGGTTGTTCTCAGTACATAAAATGTAAACCCACCGACCGACTCAATTCTAAAACGTGTGTAATTGGTCCTTATCGAAACTGCAATTGGGCTTGAGCTCAAGTAACCAATAGGCCTAATATAATTTGAGAATTTTATGTATATATATATATATATAAAAGTGATATTTTGGTTTGGACATTAATTCTCACTCAACTGTGTGCTGTTGCTCTCGAAACTACATATGTATCTGATCATGTATGTATTACCATTATGTATACACGGAATCCCTAATTTAAATTGAAATGTACAATGATCGGTAGATAATATTTTTCCTTTAAAAAAATTAAAACCAAAAAAAAAATATGTCTCTTTCTTCTTGAGCATTTTTTAAAATATCTTCTAAAGAATGTCTCATTCACTCTTTCTTATTTTCCTTTCATCTAATTTGTTTCTTTTCTACCTAGCAAAACATAAATAACAACAACACATAATTTATTGTGTTTGTTAAGAGAAAAGAAAAGAGAATTTTAAATTATTTTTACTATTATATCTAATAATATTTATAATATAAAAATTTATAAAGAATAGTATTATAATTTAAAACTTTTACTAATTTAAAATAATATTTAATTTAAAATATTTATAATGCTCCAATTGTTTTGATTTTAGTCACCACGTACTCCTTCCTATCTCTACCTTAAATAAAAATTTCTTAGTAATTCCACCTCAACTAAATATGTCTCCTCCTTGAAATAAACAATATGATGAAATTTAAAAACACTCTTTAACACCTTTAATATGTAAAGTTATTCTAAACAGCAAATATTGAAAAAAAAAAAAAAAAAAACGAAAGAAAAAAGAAAGAAAAGTCAGCAAATAGATTCCTATTTTAATTAGGATCCTAATCCTTTTCCAATTCTAATTCCAAATCCCAAAAATAATTGGTTCCAAAGGTGGATTGAGTTGCCGGCCCTGCAAGTAACTTCTTGCCGATAAAGGCTTCCTTAGATGTCTTTCGCGGCTTCAACTTTTTATAGGGTCGACACAATTTAGGGCATTCAAGAAGCTAGAACATAAACCTTGTTTGCAGGTTAGTCTCTATACTTGGTGCTATTTTCTTTGATATTATTCGCTTCTGTAATTTATCTAGGGTTTATGTTTAAGGTGTTCCTTTTATTTTATTTTTTTTTGTTTTACGGTAAGCTAAAATTATTAGATGCAGTAAACGAATGAATCTTTTGGAATTATGTAAATAGAAATAGCAGCAGAAGAGGAACTTTGGCAATCTAGGGTTTCGATTTGTGTAGAGAAAATTTCTATTGATGGGTGGAACATTCAATTTGAGGCAAAATTAAGTGTTGTTATAGAGTGCTATATAGGGATTTACGATATTTGCTTTCTTTTATTTATTTATGTATTTTAATTTGGATTATTTTGTATTTACATGATTTGAAAGAAGATTTCTCTTGAATTTCATAGGTATAAATGTGGCTTGGATTTATCCATTCGTGAGGCAACTTCTAAGTCTTTGGTTTTGTCGAGAAAGATAGTTTTCTTCATAAGAACCTAGACTTATTCATATATATATATATATATATATATATATATATATATATATATATATTGTTATGCAGATATTCTTTGAACCATTCAAATTGATCCCCTTTCGTTTTGCATTATACATGATGAAAGCATTCTGATTCCATTCTTACCCGATTGATTTTTTTTTTTTTTTAACAGTATTCCATACTGGGAATACACTAAAATCTAGATGTGATCCTATATCTGAACAAGATATAGATTATAGATGTGTTCTTGAAATACCATGATTTTGGCCTAGATTGTTATACCTAACATTTAGTAGTATGTCCACTGATGATCAAACTATATATGACATGAAAAAGAACAATAAAATAAGTCAAATCGCCCTCATTGAGTTTGAGCATTGAGCTTATTTCTCTCTAGCTCATCCAATAGCCTATTCAAGCCAAACTTGAACCCAAAGCCTTTTTTTGCAAGTTGAGAGAGCACACATGAAACTTGATTGATCAGCCACTCCTTTGAGTAAAGCTCAATAATTGGTATTTGGAAGTTTAGCAATTTTGATGGCATAAGAATATGGACACTTCTAAGAAGAAGTTGCATCCTTATGGACAAGTGTATTGATATTTCATGGACCTCCTAGATACATCTCCAATGCATCTTGGACATGTCTATAATTTAAAAATTCAGTTCTTCATTTTGGACATATGCTAACATGTGACCAATAATAAAATGAGGGTTTTCAAGATGGAATAAAAAGTATAATTTTAAGAAAATCAAATTAATTGGTTATGTAAAATTTTAATAAAGTTCCGTCACATTTAAATGGTAAAGCTATCTCCCCACCTTTGAGGGGAGGATTAGTGTATCCCCATTTATTAAGAGACTTAAATACCCTTAATCACAACAAAGAAGCATTTCGGGGTGGCTACTGAAGTCATTTTACATTCTAAAAATCACCCAATTTCATTCAATGTCTTTGCCTTCCCTTCTCCAGACCTTCATGTGCATGTGTAAACATGTTTCGTTCATTCGTTCTTCCATTTCGATATCTTCTGCCATTGGAGCAGCAGAACGCTTTTGCAGCCCCCCCTTGTTGCTGCAATATTCGTTTGTCCTTCAACATATCTTTCACCATCCTAGTTTGAGCAACACTCCAATCTAAAACAAGAACATACCTTCCTAAACTTGGGATTTAGGAATTTCCTCTAGAATGAATAAGTTTCCAAAGGAATACAAACTGAAATATTTTTCTCAACTTTATATACATGTCAGATTTTACTTCCATGTCTGCAAATATCGAGCTCTATTTTATTTGCATTTGTTCTAAGTTTATATAAACCTTATTTGACCTGGTTATAGGAACGAAAATTTGAAATTCAATTCAGTTTGAAAACTGTGTCAAAATTGCAATATTTATATGGCTAAAGTTGAATGTGTATTTCTATTCTTCCAATGCATTTATTATTTTATTTGGATAAAAGAGAATTTAAATTGATTGATCTATCACAATGGTCATGAGCCTAAGCTTGAGTTAGACAAGATTTATGTTCCCAAAGTGGCAGTGGCAAAGCTTGGAATAACTTCTCTGTTTAGAGACCCTTTGAAATTTTTACTGAACTTCTATGTAACAATTATTTTGCCCAGAATTGAACCTGTTCTTGGGGGGAAGCAGTGGAAATGGTGATGATTTTAGTGTAAATTATGTTATCAGATGAGCGTTGTAGTCCTGAGCAGTTGCTGGTACTGAATGCTTTTCTGATTCAACACATGATATATCTGTTACGCTTTAAAATACTTGATTTTTATCTATTATAATTATGTTTGTACTTGATTCTTCTTATTTGATGGCCCACTTCTGATTTGAAATTTGCTATATTAGTTGGATTGGTAATTCTATTGCTGATTAAATGTTGGTAGTGAGGAACTGAAAATGGATTGCAACTGAATGCAGGTTGCTGTAAGATTTGGGATCTAGGAGCTTGTTGCTGAAAGCATGGCTAAACATCACCCTGATTTGATTATGTGCCGGAAGCAGCCAGGAATCGCCATTGGAAGACTATGTGAGAGATGTGATGGAAAGTGCGTCTTCTGTGACTCCTTGGTCCGTCCTTGCACGCTTGTGCGAGTTTGCGATGAATGTAACTACGGATCCTTCCAAGGTCGTTGCGTTGTCTGTGGAGGAGTGGGAATTTCTGATGCCCACTACTGCAAAGAGTGCTCCCAACAGGAGAAAGATAGGGACGGGTGTCCAAAAATTGTCAATTTGGGGAGTGCCAAAACAGATCTGTTCTATGAACGCAAAAAATATGGTTTTAAGAAGCGGTGATGGTTATTGGGTAATTTAACTTTCTTATACGTGGAACAACATTTCATCGGGTTGCAATATTATGGCATTTTAAGGGTTTTGTTGCTTCTCGATAAAATGAAAAAGATATTTTGTTTCCTGAAAATGAATAGAGGAAGTAGACGTGATAGACTAGTTCCCATCTAAATGGTAACGTCGTGGATTTAGACAGTATTAACCATCTGTGTGGTTATCTAATCCTGCTGCTTATTGCAAGTAATTCTTGCCTGATATATGTATAGATTATGCTTGGTGGTAAATTCTGTTGGCTTGAGTGTAGCACGGGAGACTCATTGTTATTCTTGTTTTCTAGTGTGCAACCAGTCATATTTGTGTATTGACTTTTTGCTAGAAGTGGATTTAGAAGTAAGATTATTTTATTAATCTAGAGATTGACAACTTATTGCGTCTCTCATCGAATCATTAGGTTTTTATTTGCGGTTGTAATTCCATATTAATAGGGTTGGCATATATCATTATCATTTTATTGTTCTTATTTCTATAATTATCATTTGTTTGGCATCATTTTTCTGTAGTATTGTCACTGATATGCTTTGACAGGATGCTAAATGGCAACAACTTTGAGGACTTGTAATGTTGAAACTGCTTTTTGTACTAGTAGTCGTACTTGTCGAGAGACTAATAAATAGAGCCGTCAAGTCATCTCATGGCAAACCAATGGATAAGTCCTCTCTTTCTCTCATATGGTGCCAAGCACCCAATTTCTTTCATGGTGCCCAACCACCCAAATGGCTGTGTGTGTGTGTTATAGTGGCTGCACCATTGTAGTGCCACAGAGATTCTGTTGCCTTGTTAGTGGAGATTGGAGGAAAAGATTTTTATGCAGATATCTCTAACTCTTTTTTGTTTTTTTTTTTTTTTGGAAAGAAACCTGAGATATCATTGAGCTACAAAGCCTCATTTGATACATACATCTCTGATATTGATACAGTAAGGAATCGTCATACATCATAAATATTGGTGTTTGACCTATACGAGACAAGAAGTGGCACCATTACATGGGTGCCAAAGCAGACATTGCACTCATATGTTTTCGGGTGAAGGATACGTGCACTCACTGTTCCACCCATGTGTGCATGTCCATGCCAATTTTATCATTTTGTTTCACTGATATATTATATATATAGTTGAAAGTCACTATCAACATGGATTCGACTGTGGGTGATTTTTAAATTTTGAAATAAAATGGTGTGATGATCGAACTTTATAATTGATGCACTTGAGAAGATAAGCGGTGATGGGAGACAAAAAGAAATGAAAAGAAAGAAGGTTGACTTCTAATAGATTATGATATTAGAATCTGAAAGGAGAAGAAAGAAGATTGACTTTTAATTAAAATTGATCCTTAGAATATGAAGATAAACGTGTAAATTTATAGTAATGTAATATTAAGAATATTGTATAACATCATGTAATGGAAGGACGAGAAAATTCGAACTTAAACTCGGTCAACTTCAAATATTTGAATTTACGATTTCATTGGACCACCTCTTACCTTCAATATTATGTATTTTGTGAAAAATAATTATTGAATTTTGAGCTGCTCACAGATTATTCATTCAAAATTGTGATTTTGCTCTCTTATGTACGATTCAAGATTGATAACCCATCTATATAGTCGTATAGTATAAAATATGATTAGACTAGTACCAAAAAAAAGGGCAAAATTTTGCCTTTTTGGAAAAAAGAAGCGATAGCAACATGTTGACCCTAAATGAACGGCGCAGATGCTACGACTATTGGCCAACCTTTTCCAAATGTCAACTCATCTCGCAGTAATACTCCACCACATGTGTCCCCGCATAAAACCATTCCCCTTATAAAGAGTAATACTTGGGTCTCACTCAAGTTAATGAATTCAATCCAACCTATTAACGTGACTTAATAAATTTAAAATAAATATTTAAAAATAAAAATTAAGATTTAAAACAGTGAGATGGCAACTAAGTGGAGTTAGGGTGGAGTTGGGTAAACCTTACTCCACCTAGGGATGATGATGGGGCAGGGATCTCATTCCCCATCCCCAGTCAAATTTTTTACCCCCATCCCTGCCCTCATACCCGTTTAAATTTCAACTCCCTCCCCCGTCCCTGCCCCGCCCAGCCACATTAGCCCCCGTCCTCGCCCACCCAACTTTTTAAAAATTTCAATTCACCTTCAACAAAATCAAAACAACTATAATATTTTTCAAACTAATAATTTAATAAAGTTTTAGCACAATTATAACAATTTAAAATATATCATTTCAACCCGATCAAACTTATTGCAAAATCACATATAGCATTTTTTGGAATAGTCTGGAAATTTTCAACATGATTTATCAAAACAAATAATATTCTTCCAACAACGACTATGCTGCAAGTGAATAGATTTAGGATTTCAGAAGTGAATATATTATATATATAGGTATGTAATTTAGTAATATTTCATAACATGTAAGAGCAGTTTTGTAAAAATGCACTATAAATGGGGCGGGGAGGGGCTGGGTTACCCTCCCCCGGCCCTACCCCGTCTCCCGCCGGGGTTTTAAATATAATCCCCATCCCTTCCCCATTTACATAAATAGGTCCCCAAACCCGCCATAACAGGGGCGGGGTGGGGCGAGGACCTGTCGGATATGGGGATTTTGCCATCCCTAACTCCGCTCCGTTAAAAAATTTGTCATACCAACTCCGTTCCAATTTCGGGACGGGTTTATAATTGGTATACTTGGGACAGGTTTAAAGTTGAAATTGTTGAATTAATTCATAGACTTGGGATAGAATATTAAGATCTTGAATCCTTAATTGATTCTTGAAAATTAAATCAAGTGCACAATTGTGGAATTTTAGTAAGTAATGATTCTAGTGAATATTTAATCAATATATATTTATATATATATATAATCGGGTCGAGGGCGGGGCGGGGTGGGAGCATCACTAAATCCGCCCCCGTCCCAAACCCGTTTCGGATTTTCAATTCTTTTATCATATTTGCTCTAAACCCATTTACGGAGTTACCAAATCCGCCCCAATAGGAGCGGAGCAGGGCGAAAACCCAGCGGATTGAAAGAAATTACCATCCCTATAAAACACATGTTTAAAAGTAAAAATTAAGTAATGTTTAATTTAATTTTAACACCTGTCTCAATTTTATTGGGTCACGTTAACAAGTTGGATGAAGTTCATCAGAACTAGGTTGAACCCGAGTATTGTTTCCTTATAAATTAGTCACAGCCGTATCCCTAGCCATTCGATTCATAAGCACTCCCCAACTTCCCAACACATATTATACATATAGAGAGAGATCAATTTCTAGAGAGAGATACTATGGCGGCAGGACTTCGACTATGGTGGTGTCTCTTATTCGCATTTGCGATAATATGTTCTGCTCGGAACACTATTTCATTCTCTGGTATGTATTTCTCATTTTTATATGACCTGTTATACATAATACATATATGTGTGTAAATACAGAACAAATATATGTATAACACATACGGTATATAGTTAGAGAGATGATGACGCAGTGCAGTGCCGGAATGCGGTTAATTTTTACACCGTCGGTCATCAGACGGTGATCGTACCCTGGTTTTTCTCGGTAATTAATGACCAATGATAAGAAAAACACCGTTTGATCCCCGTTGTTTGCGTTCGATTCAAATGCGATAGCATTGTGGTGCGTGCACTGCGCCAGCTGTATCATTATCTGGGTAAAAGACATACTAGTACCCTTTCTTGTATCACTTTGATCCGACGGTGAAGGATGGCTGTGGGAAACCACTCGATTGGGATCCAAACTTTGTTAATCCAATAACACTAAATTAATACTAGCTAACACTGAACAATTATCGATGTTGTATTATATACTATTAATTAATATATATAGCATGTAGATAGTCGGATAGAGCTGTGTTAATTAGAGATTAGAATTGAAGTTTAATGATGATGTGAATATATTTCAGGAGATATGGGGGTGGGGCGAAGGTCTCTAATGGTGAAGCTTGACGACTACAATGAGGCGTCAGCCAACCGTGGACACGACCCCAGGAATAAAGTTGGCGGTGGTGGTGGTAGGAAGATTGGCCTGGATTACACTCCTTAATGGTCATGGCGGCCGGTTATAATCAATCAGTTCCTCCTAAGGCAGACAGTACTATAGATGATAGTTTGGTACTATATCATCTACGAAGAATTATATATGCAATATATATATATATATAGCTATTTGACTACGGATATGTATGTCACATAAAAGCACCAGTGTGCTACCTATGACTATTATTGTTATTATGGAGATAGGTACGTCGTCGTATCCTAGGGAAGGGGTATATTTTAGCATTGTTTGATGTTCTACCCTTCAACTGGAGGATTTGTGACCTCTGCTCTAGCTAAGATTATTAATCTTTTACGTATAATGATATATAAAAACAATTAACTAGAGTGAGCTTATCTTTCTGTCTGTCTCTTGGCACAACATGTATAAATTAGTCCATAAATTTTAAATGCAAGTATGACATTGAATTTTTTTTTTATGAAAAACTCCCCACGGTGTCATACACACACAGATCGACAAAAAATCTCTTCATATCACAGAAGTGCCAAATTCACAACTAGTATGGCTTGGAATTACCCAACAGAACGAGAATAAAGTTAGAGAACAGCATGTACTGATTCAAGCCTCCTACCAATTTGAGTGTCTTTTGAAATGTTGATCGGAGTTTTAACAAGCGCCTGTATATGTTGCCAAATAATCACCATCATCTGCACTTAACAAGAAATCCCCGCCAAATTTGCTTCACATAACTGCAAAGCGGAGTCAGTCCTTGAAGGCACAATTATTTTTTTTTATTTTTTGTTAAAATTGAAGGCACAATTATTATTATTATTAGGCTGACTTTTCATGAAAAAATACTTTGTTTTTGACTTTCCTTAATATTAGTTGTGCAACACCAAATTATATAGCCAACTCAAGCCCGGATCTAAATTGATGTCAAATCCAATAAGTTCCATCCAAACTCAACTCAGCTTTGGCCTATCACAAGCCTCACTACAATCAAATACATTCATTTTATTTTAATTTTTTAATTTTGTGACAGCTTGTATTTAATCAAAACTACATAGTCTCAAATCATATAAGTCAAAATTTATTTTAAACGCTTGACTCTTTACTATTTGATTCATTGAATATTCCAAACTTATTAAAAGTAAAAAAAAAACAATTAAAACTTAGTGGATCAGTTGAATTCAAATTCTTTAACAAAAAAAACATAAAATATATAATATATTACAAAAAAATATCAATATTCATTTTCATTATATTAATCCACCGTACATGAAATGGTCTAATAATTTCCTATTCATCCTCAAGTTTAAGTGAAAAAGACGAAACAATCCCAAAGAATAGACGTGGCATTATTCAAATTTACTTAAAAACCCCTGCCGTTGTACTCTATCATCTGTGGCCACGACGCCAACTGTAGACCAGAGAAACGGCCACCTATTCTTCGACACCGTTTGATTTGCTGACTCACCCGATCTACTCCGCCGAGTCATAGACCAACCAGAGTCACCAAACTCACCTCAGTTCCTTCTCTTCTTCTGTAGAGAGAGAAACAGATACTGTCCATTGATTCTCTCACAACATGACTTGGTTCAGAAACCTCATCAAGCTCTCCACCTTGAAAAACTCACGGCAGTTAGACCCTAAATTCACCGCCACTTCTCCGCTAACCCTAATCGCGTCGTTATCGCAATTCAGTACGGGGACAGATGCCTCTCCCTGCGCCGGATTGGGCCCGACGAAGGCCGACGAGAAGCCCAGGGTGGTGGTGTTGGGCTCGGGGTGGGCCGGTTGTCGGCTCATGAAAGGGATCGACACCAAGCTCTACGACGTCGTGTGCGTGTCGCCGAGGAACCACATGGTCTTCACTCCTCTCTTGGCTTCCACCTGTGTGGGCACTCTCGAGTTCCGGTCCGTCGCCGAACCGATCGGCCGGATCCAGCCGGCGATTTCTCGCGAACCCGGTTCTTACTTCTTCCTTGCTAATTGCACTGGTCTCGATCCCCATAACCATGTGGTATGTCCATTTTACCTCATTAGTACTTTTCATTGAAGAAAAGTTGTTTGGTTGCTGAGAAAATGTTGGAGCATATAAGAAACGGAAGTGTCCGATCTTGAATGTTTGATTGACGTACGGACTCTTGAATACATACAGTTCTAACCAACTAAATGTAATATAAGTAATTGGAAGTACTTAATTCTGTTTCTTAAAAAAATTCATAACTACATTTAAGATGCTCTGAACTTGTGGATTTAATTCTTTGACTTATTGGTTTCTGCTAATAAATTCAACCCCCAGCCAAAAAGTTCGTAATGATTTTGGCTTAAAGTGGGGGACTTAGATTAAAGTTTTAAAGGATCAAATTAGTTTATTAGGTGGTAGTATGGGAAAATGAACATATTAGTACTTCGAATTTTTTATAGCCGAGTTATTTGCTTCCATTGTAATAATTTACTGAATTTATATAAATAATTGCTTGTTTATTTTATTTGACTCTATGCAAGAGATTTATGACTCATTGTAAACTTGGAATCTTTTGTTATTTTGATACTTATTTAATAAAAATAAAATGAAAGTCTTATGGTGTTATGATCCATGGACTAGGTGCACTGTCAGACTGGTATTTGCTTCCTTAATGAAGTTTTAAAATTTCAATTCCCTTTTCTATAACTTATAGGCAATTAAACACAGCCAAATGCCAGTCTCTTAGATTTGAAATTTTGGGTGGCCGTAAGCAGTTTAATTTTTGTTACACACTAGGTGCAATGTCAGACTGTTACTAATGGAGCAGATACATTGGATCCATGGAAATTTAATATCTCATATGACAAGTTAATTATTGCATCTGGAGCAGAGGCCTCTACTTTTGGAATTAAGGGCGTGAAAGAGCACGCAATTTTTCTTCGTGAAGTTCATCATGCTCAGGAAATCAGGAGGAAGCTGCTCTTAAACTTGATGCTGTCTGATGTCCCTGGTACGCTTCTTTTAGAAAATATTGATTTTAATGGGTGTTGAGACACTGATCCATTATATGAACTCTCACTGTGGATATTTCTGTTGGGTATGGGATGAGGCAGGAATCACAGAAGAAGAGAAGAGCAGACTCTTACATTGCGTTGTTGTTGGAGGTGGTCCCACGGGGGTTGAGTTTAGTGGTGAACTTAGTGACTTTATCATCAGGGATGTTCATCAAAGATATGCTCATGTGAAAGATTATATCAACGTTACTTTGATTGAGGTTTGTCCATTGGTATCTTGTTCATTAGATATGATTGAGCTGAATTTTCTTGCTAGCTTCACCAGACTTCATGCCGTCCATGACCTGTGCTTTCCTGAAGAATTCCACTTTACGTTGGAGGCTTAAGCTCATTTAATGAGTATAATTGCAATAAGATCTCATTTTTAACTTGATCAATATGTGATTAAAAAACTTATTTACCTAAAAAAAAAGGTGATTGAAAACTTATGATTTATTTATGTGTCTTAACAGGCAAACGAGATATTGTCTTCCTTTGATGATCGCCTTCGCCGATATGCAACTAAGCAGTTAACTAAGGTGAGAGATTATTAATTGATGTAATGATTTTGTCAGCACATGTTTTCGATGTTTATTTGATACAGCTCATTTTCTCATTGCAAAGTCTGCTCTTGGAACAAAGCCCATAATTAAATATCCTTTTTTGCAAGGTCTACTCTTGAATATTTAGTAAACAAAAATATTATTTTTTTGTGAAAATATATAATAAATTTATACTTCTGTTTTTATAGAAGGAATCAAGAAGACAGGTTAAGATGGGGTCGTACCGTCGTAGGTGTAAGTGCTGCAACATATTTTAATTAGACATGGATTTGGAACAAAGTCCATAATTAAGGTTTTTTAGAGTAATTTACTTTCAATGATCATGTGTTGGATCTATGCAATGTGAATATGCCAATGTTTATGAACTGAAAACTAGTTATAGAGCTATCCAAGTCTTTCTTCATGTACATGGAAATATCCTTCTCTCTGGATCTGGTTCATGGGTTTGTGCTGCGGGAAGGTTGATCAAAACCTTGCTTCCGGGTTCTACTAATTTCCACAAACCTCCAGTTCCGACTATAAAAGAATAAAAAGTAAATAGAAAAAAAGAAAAAAGAGTTGGTATTTATTTAATGAAAAAGAAGAATCCACGAAGTACTCATTAATAAGTAGAAAATTATAAAGTTACTATTCTGCATGTCTCGGTATATATTTCTCCACATAGCATATGAAAAAAGAGTGGTGCTGGCTGAGTTCCAGTATTGATGAGGAAGAAGGTTTATTTGTATACAATAATAGTTCTGTAATTATTCAAAAAGTTTTAGTGCCTTGATTCAATTCTTTGTGATACTTGTTTGATAGTGTTTCCTGTCATGCTGATGTTTAATTCTCAATGTTTTAGTTCTTCTACCTAAACTGTAAAATCTATATATTTAGTAATATTTCTGGCCTTCAAATGTCATAACATGTTAATAATTTTCCATTCCGTTTCAGTTCTGTTTAGTTTCATTTTGATTCTAATACTCTCTCTCAGTCAGGAGTCCGTCTTGTCCGTGGGATTGTCAAGGATGTTCAACCTCAGAAAATTATTCTTACTGATGGCACTGATGTTCCATATGGGCTTTTAGTATGGTCTACTGGTGTTGGTCCTTCACCATTTGTGAGCTCCCTGGAACTTCCAAAGGCTCCAGGTGGAAGGTGAGTTACGAATTGTGTTTTTGTTTCACTTTAATCTATCCAAAGTTTCTATGTATGGGAATATGTGATGATTTAAGCATATTTACTGTCCTGGTGGATATGTTTCGGAAGTCCATAGAGTAAAAGATTAAAACAGTTGGAAGTTGAGACACCATTAAAGTTCCATAGAGGAGTTCCTAAAAGATTAAAACAGTTGAAAGTTGAGACACCATCAAAGTTTTTCTTAAAAAAGTCCATCTTGAGCTTATTATTAAGATACTCTTTTGCTTATCCGCTTGATGCCATACTGCATTCCACTGCAAGTCTTATTATCTTTGGGTGCCATTGCTCAATTAAAAATCTTTCCATGCTAGAGTTTTATATGACGATTTGTCTGTGAGATTGAGATTGATGTGTGTTTTACAGGCTTGGTGTTGATGAATGGCTACGCTTACCTTCTGTGCAGGACGTGTTCTCAATTGGTGACTGCAGTGGGTTTCTTGAAAGCACTGGAAAACCAACCCTTCCAGCTTTGGCCCAGGTTATGAACAAAATTCATTTCTTTCATAGTTGCACTTCTTGTTCAATTTGCAAAGTTTCAGCGAGTCAGGCTAGAGGTTTACGGTCAGAGTTATGTCTACTATTTAATATTTCTCAGAAGTAGCTGACAGTTTAATTGCCTATTTGGGCCTTGCAGATAGAAAGTAGTTCCTAGTCCAGGATAAGGAATGCATGATGCTACTGACATTTGCAATTAGTTATAGACAGCTTCACGCTGTGTGCCATTTTACTTTTTCTGCCAATGGCGCTGCTATAAAGGAGATTGTACTGTCTTTTGATGTAATTGTTTACGAGCTCAAGTTTTGATTATCTTTGATTTTTAGCACTCTACATGTCTGAATAGCAATACAGCAGAACTTTTCTTGTTTTTTATGTTATAGTTTTAATTGGGTAATGGGTAGTGTTCCATTAATCAATTATTTTGGTAGCATAACATGCAAGTCAACTGTGTTGAATTCCTCTGGTTTTCAGCAGTCGTTATGGCTATTCTCCACAGCACTAATGCGGTTTCACAAGAGTTTCTGTTTTTGTTGCATTTTTCTTTCTCGTTTTTTATTTACTTCAATTTGAATTGTTTGAAACAGGTTGCTGAGAGACAAGGGAAATATGTAGCAAATCTACTGAACAGGATTGGCAAATCTGGTGGAGGGCGTGCAAATAGTGCAAAAGAAATGGAATTAGGAGAGCCATTTGTCTACAAGCATTTGGGGAGCATGGCAACTGTTGGCAGATACAAGGCTCTTGTGGACCTTAGGCAGAGCAAGGTGAATTTATTGCCATGTCTTTGTCTCTCTCTTAAGCTATTAAAATTTAAAACCGTGTAGCTCACTCATTGAGCATCTTCTATAGGAGGCGAAAGGGTTAGCACTGGCAGGATTTGTTAGTTGGTTTATTTGGCGGTCAGCTTATCTCACACGTGTCATAAGCTGGAGGAACAGATTCTATGTGGCAATCAATTGGGCTACTACCTTTGTGTTTGGCCGTGATATAAGCAGAATATAGATTCATGTAAAAGGTGCCATCTCTCGTTCACCCAAAACCTGCCTTGCAGTCCATAAATCTTTTTACTACAAAATGTTACTGTTCTGGAGCATCATCATCATCTTATTTCCTCATATTTACTTGACCTTTCCAATCCCCTCATTCCTGTGTTTGTGTTTGTTTGCGGATATGGGTAATTTGGTCATTTACTGGTCGAGGTATGTTATGTTATGGAATTCTATATTTTTCTTCAGTCAAGATGGGAGTTTCTGCTGAAATGTGAAAAGAAGGATTAAAAAGAAAAGAAAAGAAAAAATTGACAATAGTGTATGTTCTGCTTAGAATGAAAGCAGCGAAGTACTCTTTTGAGGTACAGATATATGATATTCTTTTTTATTTCTAGCCCTTTATAGCCACTTATTTTTTTTTGCATTATGAATCTGCTGTTAATATTTATTTTTATTTTTTTGGATTCTATGTTAATCTTAATGCATTTATTTATTTATTTTTATATAAGTATTGCATAGGTTAAAGGCTTGGGGCACAATGTTGCAAAATAACTTCTGAAATCTGGACCTTTGTTCTTGTTACATAATAATCTACAGTATAATTTTCATTTAGGTATGGTTTGGACATGTTACAATTTCCTCAGTTGATAATCTTTAGACATTTGTAGTAGAGCATCAATTTTGCGTTTTCAATCTCTCAGAAGCTGGTTTTTTTATTTATTTTTTATTTTTTATCGTGCTGTGATTTATTTTTAAAGTACAAATTTGTTTAATAATATTTTGCTGCCATGTTTCGCGCAATATATACGGAGTGTGTAGAGAGAGAGAGAGAGACATGGGGAAGATTGTTTGTAACATAAAGTAAATTTTTTTCTAAATGTTCACACTTTTGGAGTAAAACTAGAGTAGGGGTCTGGCTGGCCTTTTTTAACTAAGCTATTCGTTACTCAAATCATGCACACTTTTTCACTAAACATTGTTTTCATGTTTTGCTTCCTATAATCTTTGCATCAAATTTTAGGTTGCCAAATATGCTTTTGATACAAATGAACGCACTACGCGACAAAAACACTTTCAAACAATTGTCAAACATGTTTTGGGAAACAATTGTCAAGACACCTAGGATCTTCAGTGGTGTCATCTTTTTCTTCAACTCAAAAACCATGGTACTAGAAGAATGCTCCTAAAACCTAACCTGCATCTTCCCCCAAGTAAGAGATTGAAAATGGCATAGACAATTTACAGAGAGAGAGAGAGAGAGAGAGAGAGAGAGAGAGAGAGAGAGAGAGAGAGAGAGAGAGAGAGAGAGAAGAAGAAGAAGAACTAGCAACCTGAAAAGAAGGAACTAGAATAGTGTCGTGTTGGGTTGGTAAAAGGGGTGAAGACTTGTTATGGTGAGTTCTGAAAAAGATTGGTATGAAGGAAAGCATTCTTGTTTACTGGGAAATTAACTCAATCTGTTGCCTCCCTACAAAGGTCAGACCCATTCCCATTCTTTTGTGTATCCGATCGCACTTTTTTCTTGATTAATTCTTCTCCTCCTCTATAATTACCAGTAAATAAAAGGGTCAAGTGCAAAAAAAAAACAACCCTGATATATAGGGTTAAGTGCCAAAAAAAACCTGATATATAAAGTTTGTGCATAATTAGTCTTTACTTTTTGAAAATGTGCATGTTAGTTTCAGAAAATTCAAAAAAATGTGCAAATAAGCCCATCTGACCACTTTTTGACAAAAACTAAATATAAAAACTATTTTACCCTTTTGATTCTCATTTTACCCCTCACCCTATGTAATTCCTTATACCTTTCAATCTGATCTCTCCCTTTTCTTAAAAGCATCTAAGGTTCTGGCGCAGAGGGGGTTTACCCTGTTGACCTTCTATCTCTAAGGGCAAAGCTGATTTCTGTGTCAACGAGGAAGCTGAGAGCCTTGAGACGAAGGGAAGGCCAAGGATCAATTCAATAGACACATAAAATAAAATTATAATTAAAATTATGTTAGGGTAAACACAATGGAATACCCTATGTGATTATGGGTGGGGAGGAGTGGGGAGGAGGCGGCATCTTCATTTCTGTTTATATATATAGGGTTTGTGCATAATTTTATATGTATATATTAAATATATATATATATATATATATATATATATATATATATATAAATAGTGTTACAGTGTGTGTCTTATATAGTAGGGGCTGTTTGGTTTTGGTTTTTATTATATCCCGTTTGGGTTTCTTTAGTTTAGCTTATCCCAATTTTATACAAATTGAGGTTTATTTTATTTTTGTTCCAAACAAACACAATTTTACACAAATTGGACAAAAGGGTCATTTTATATGACAGTTATTAATTTATTCAACTGAAGTGAGAGTATTATCGTCATTTTATACCACACAGGGATCTATTTGCACAAATTGATAATATAAAGGGGTATTATAGCACACAAGAACCTTTTTGCACTATATTAATAATAGATGGAGGTTTTTTGCACTTAACCCTAAATAAAATCACCACGCCTTTCCATTGCCTTCGGTTTATCAATTATTATTATTACAGTGGCTTTTCACAAAGAACTGGGCCAAACCGGTACAACAGTTGCGGGTCCAATTACATTTCGGTTCGGTTCATGTTCTAGTCCCGTTGGAACTGAACCAGATCGGAAATTTAATGTATTATATCTATTATTTTTAAATTATTTAATTACTAATATAATAATATATAAGTATATTACCAAAAAAAAGTATGCAAAAGTATTAGTTGATTCAGTTTGCTATTCTGTTTTTTTTTTTTTTTTTTTTCTTAGCATTTGTATTTTGTTACAAATGTTAAAGTATCAGTTTGACACGCGTTAAGAGTTAAGTATAACTATTTATTACCCATGATTTATAAAAAATGCTATATATATATATATATATATATATTGTTTTTGGGAAGGATTATGTTAATTTTTTTTTTTTACAAGAGCTGAGGTGTTAAAAGTTAGATTAGTAGATATAAAGAGTCAAAACTTGACATTTCAAAATTCATAGGCTATCGAGGCAGCAATGATTATGTTACTTAATTTATTGAAAATCTCATTTAGTGTAACTTTTCAGTATCTCCTTTTCAAAATAGAAAATTTAGAACTCAAAGTCTCCAGCCACCAAAGACAGTAAGTTTAAGCCTCAAGGCATGGCAAGAGAGCAGTTTAATGCCGAGTTAACAGGCTTTCAAGTGATGGGCTGGAGTGAAAATGAATCAGTACAAGAGCAATTAAATAAACCTAAGGGAAACTATGGAAACCGAATCGGATCGAACCGGTCTTCACATTTTAGTCCGGTTCGATTCCATATTTTAACGGTTCCGGTTTCAGTTCCGGTTTCAAAAACTAAGTTCTAAAAACTAGAAACTGTTGGTAACGGTTTCAGTTTCGCTAGGAATTATAGCGCAGGGCCGGTCCTAAGATTCCCAAAATTTTAAAAGGCTCTAGGCGAACTTTCAAATACAAGACCTTTATACATAAAGTTTTACAAGCGCAAAAAATTATAAGAGTACAAAATTTTCATTAAAATGAGACGATAAGTACCAGGGGTGACTTGAAATAATTTGGGGCGTTTGGCCAAAAATAAAAAGTGATTTTTAATAATATATTAATATTAGATAATATTTATTTAAAAAATATCATTCTTAGTTTTTAAAATTCAAAATTACTAATTAGATTCTTGTATTTAAGTTTGTTTAAAAATATACAAATATATACATATTTATTATAACAAAAGTTAATAAAATTAACAAAAGAAAAGAATAATAAAATCTGATTTAGAAAATTCCAATCCAATGTTTCTACAAATTCTTCAATATGATATGAAAAGGGAATTAAGCCGGTAAAGTAAAAACTAAGAAGCCGGTAAAGTAAAAAAAAAAAAAATAGTTTTCCTTCTTTTCTTTTTCTTCTCCATTTGGTATATTTATACTTTATATGATCTGGGTGATGATGAATAAACTTTTTGTCATCATAGCCATTGCCTCATAATGAGCTGAGTTGTAAGATTATGCTCAAGCTTGATTCGAACAATTAAGTAGCTCAAAAAAGATGCTCGGACTTTATCTCGCTCATCATATAAGCAATCTCAGGCTAATTTATACTATAACTAATCTCAAATTAAGTGCAAGTGCTTGGTTTTCTTTTAATTGCCTAGTTTAGTGAACCCAGGTCAATAAATTGATGAGCTTGAAGATGTGATTTAGATTTTTTTGTTTATGCCACTGGTTGAATGTAAGCTGGCTTTTAATGTTGATCATAGGATTACAACACTCTCCTTTTTTGTTGTCTGTTGTGTGTGTGTTTTTGTCTTCTATGTGGGACAGAACACAAGAATTAAGGTTATGTTTTACACTCACAACATGTACGTAGTGGGGAAGATTGTAAAATAAATTTGCTTCTTTTTTTAAAGAATAAATTGTTCTTTCTTCAGTGAAAGGATACTTTCACAAGATGACGAATAAGTGTTGCAGATCCACTTCGATCACCAGATTTGATTTCATAAATTGCAACACAATCTGGGCCATCATCAAACTCGCAACCAAAAACAATGATCTTGCTGCATCCTCCATCTTTATTTAATTGCCTCCTCCTCCGCCGCCGCCAACGGTGGTTTCTTCTCCGCCTATGGTGCCTCCAGTCCTCCCTTGATTACAAAGGGAAACCAATGTTGCTGACTGCTTTGAGTAATGATATAAATAACAAACAATTGCCTTTTTTTTGAAACCAAATTGGAAACTAAATTCTAATTTAAAATTGGAATTGAAAAAGGATTTAGTAACTTATACTCCCGTAGTAGTTTCCAATAAGGATGCTTGGAACTTAAGAGTCAAAAGGAAACAAAATTAAATTTTAGTTATCAAATTTTCAAATAATTTTTTTTAAAAAATAACAAGTCTTAAAATCCAGAAAGATAAGTAGTTATTAAAATTTTATAAATAACTTTTAATTAGTGATGAATTGAGGGTAATTTCATCAAGTGTGTGTGTGTAATTGTTTAAAGTTAAACTAATGGGATATTGGGATATATATATATATATATATATATATATATATATATATATATATATATATATAATAGTCTCCGGCCTTCACCGAAGTTCAGCCAACAATGGGGAGCGACGATGGTGTCACTTTCATTACCACTAGTAGGTAAGTACAGGCATACTCATTTCACAAATTGTCCACTAGAATTTGAATCCCTCATCTTCTCTTTTGAATTTAATAAATTAACTTTATATTTATTTCTTAATGAATGATATATATTCAAACATGAGAGAAGAAGAAAACAACTTTACTAGTAATGTGAATCAACTTAAGTATATACATTGCTTCTTTTGCACTTTTTTTTTTTGGTTTCAAGGTTGAACA